CACTTACGAAACTACTCATACCTCATGGAGAATGCTTTGGCGTCTTTCAGTAGTGTCAGCTAGAAATATCCTTGTCGTTGGACCCTACCCGCTAAAGTCTTTCCTTTTGAGTGTTCTCGTACTACCCAGAGTGAATTTATCAAAGAATGTATTCCGCCTCGTTCTCCTTCTTGCATTGCTGGTATTGTAATGTTTTCAATTTACAGAAAAGTGTCCCTTCTATCAGTAAGTATTGAGCATCTCTGAATTTAAATCTCCAAAGATTCGTGATTTCTTCTACAATTTCTCTCGTGTCTAGGAATACATAGGTGTCTGTTCAACTTTTCTTCTACATAGTCTCCACTGCCATCACCTCTGGCTCTTTGATGATCCACCAGCTTAGACTTTGTGATGATTTGTTCCCGAAGCGAACACATTTTAATAATAGGTTGGCCACCTAGTCTCTACTGCTCAGTTCTTAGTTGTGAAGTCGGGCTTGCAACTAGTAGTAATCAAAATAAATGGAGAATTTCATGTAGAATAGTAGTTTAATAACAAATTTTCCAATCAAATAATGATATAAACCAAATGCATTTACTCAAAAAAAAAATATTACTGTTCATAGAAAAAGTAAATGTTCAAATGTACAACATAAACATAAAAAAAAAAAAATATTCTTCATAATCATCCTTCCCTGTCTCCTCATTCACATCGTCCTCTGCCTCCTCCTCCTATAATGCTACCATGGCACACTCCCTCATATGCTGTTGAAATGAATCTTACTCAACTTTAAGCTTGGCCACCATGTTCGCCTCCAGCTCAACCTCATCTGAGTGAAGTAGGCCTTCATCATAGCAGCGAATGCAAGAGCAAGCCTAAAAATCTCTTCGTCTTATGCGATAGAGGTGGAATCTCCAGATGAACTTGTGGATGGTTAAGCGTCATAAGAAAACCTCTTTGACCCAAGCTCATAGAATTGACCCTTCTTCTTCCCTCCAGTAGCCTCCCTCCACATGCTGTACTTGAAAGGATCACGTTCGCGTTATTAACACCTCCTAATGCCTAGGATTTGTTCTCCTTCACTAGCTGTAATCTCAGCTGCAAAAAAGAGTGGTTACATTGAATTGCATCTAGCATGCATTAACATCAAACTAATTTAGCTTGTGAATTACTCGGGTCACTTGAGATATTGTCGTCGATCCAGGACTAGTCGAACTGCCTTCAATGGGCGAGCTTGTGTAAATCGACAGTGGAGTGCTCAAGTCCAATTTCTGTATTCTGTCTACATAACAAAATAGTTAGAATATTTCTTCAAACTATAGAAAATTTAAAAGTATGAATGAAATCTTACAAGACTCTGCTTGTTTTCTGTATGATGGAGCACCCCACAAGTGTGCTTGGAGGACCCCATGCCTCCACAGTCTGGTCACATGTTCTGCTTTGTTTGCTCCCTCTTCTTTTAGCATTTTGGGTAATCTCAAGTTCTAAGAAGCGAGGGAAGAAAATCCTCCTCAAGCCATAGAGGAAACTGTCGTGATTTCTGAATATCGTCAATTACTTCCTAGTGGTGATCGCTACCTTGCTCTCAAAGTTGTGTAGAATGTGTGTCTTATGTTCACTGTGTCAGGAGAATTGTTTCTGCAAAATTATATGGACTATGTTCATCTCATACATAAATAAAAATAACTTAAATTTTTTATGAACGATACATTCCACAAACTCCTGAAATCAAAGATCTTGAACTGCTATCATGATCTCCTTTCACGATATGTATGTTGAGTTGTAGTTATTCCAAATTATAACCCAAATGACATGAATACTTTGGGTCGAGGGGTAGAACCTTAAAACAACAAATTTTTAGTTTTATATTCAACTGAGAAAATAAAATATTGCTATCAATTTATTAAAAATAACTTACATGATACCGACAAGCTCGATGTGGTAGTTACTACCCTTCGACTTCTTCCTGGTAGAGGCAACCTAGGCCCCTGACACAATCAACCCTATTTTAGTTGGGGTAGAGGTAGGGGTGGTGGTAGGGATTAAGTTGGGGGTGAGCGTAATAGTGGGGGTGGGAATAAGGGTTGGGTTAGCGGTGAGGGTAGGGGGAGGTGGAAGGCAGGAGCAGGGTGATGAAGGGGGGAGGGAAGGGAGGGTAGGGAGGTGGGTAGATGCTAGGACAGGAGATGAATGTGGGGGTCGAGGCAGTGGAGAGGATGTTCACTTCATCATCTAATGGGATATCTAATTTCCATTCCAAAAATGAAAATTCTCGTCATGACATTGCAGAACATAATGATTGAAGTGAATTTCCATTTTGGGAGTGGAAATTAGATTTCTCATTGGATGATGAAGTGAACACTCATATGTCATATGAAATATTTTCTTCTCACAACTTGTTTAAAAGTGAGAGAAGAATCTAGTTAAAAGGTTCAGAGATGAGGATGCTTAAGTTTATGATTGGATTTTTACTTGGAGACAAAATATGACACAAATATATTTGTGTGAGAGCTAGTATAGCTACAGTGACATACAATATTAGAGGGAGCCATCTTAATGGATCACAAGCCAATGTTTGGCCGATTAATGATCTTTGACAAAATTAAAATTACTAAAATTTTAAACGATATGACTTAGAGCAGGTCTAATAATTGAGTTGCAATAAAAGGTGAACAAATCTTGCAATAATCAACAAATCATAGTAGAAGTGAACACTTTAATAGGGCTATCGAAGAAGGATAATACATCCTAAATATTTTTGAATTTTTGGATCTACTATTGTATTCATCATAGTAACATTAAATCTTGCGCAAGTATTTTCTTTCACATTTTATTCTCCAAATGGAAAGCCAATCATTAATCTATGCATTCTCGTCTCCGCAAACCCCAGGCACGAATGTTTGTAGAAGGAAATGTTTCATATGATGTAAGAGTTTTCACTACATTTTCCATTGTCAAGCCTAATTTGCATTTCCAAAATGAAAATTCACTTCGAAATCTAAGTTGTCAGTTCCAAAATGAAAATTCACTGTCAGTTCCAAATGAAAATTCACTTCAAAATCTAATTTGCATTGCCAAAATGGGAATTGCAGCAATGGAGATTAGTTTTTATTATACGTTTCTAACCGACGGTTTATTTTGTCAGTAATAATAAAAACCATCGAAAAAAATATTGTTTTTAATAAGCGACGGAAATTTTATAGTTATGTCATCGCAAATAACTCAAACATAAACCATCATTAGATCGTAGGCAACTTATATTATTATCGAGAAATAAACTGGTGGCTTATTAAAAAACCCATCAGTTAGCACCCCATCAAATAGATGGTTCATGGATAACAAACGCAATATGACAGTGAGTTAATATTTTCTTTTATCCGCCGACATGAGGCGTCTGTAATGATTAAAATCGTCGGAAAAAATTTTACTGTTTATAAATGATGACACGTTATGTTCTTATGCTGTTGCAAATGACTCAGATCATCAACCGTCACTATACGGTCGAAAAATTGAACATTTTTTGTGACTAAAACATAGGTCGTTGGTTTTACCATCAATTTTAGCGCTTTCTCTTGTAGTGTGCATTGCTTTTAAAATGATTCTAATATATTTTAACATTAATATAAGATACTCCAAACATTTTAAATTTAAAAGAATCTAAACTGAATAAATACCCAATATATTGTACAACTATTATAAGATTAATTGAACATAATAAATAATTATATGTAAGAATTAAGAATATTTTTAAAATTGAAATCTACATACACTTCACAGTGCATTAAGAATGGCATTCATGAACCTCTTATTGTGAATTTGAAATAAAAGTTGTAATTCTCACCAAATTATATGCTACAAAAATTCATTAAAAAATTTAGATTAACCTTGTTAAGAATTATGACAGTTGCCATCTCTAATCACATAGTTCATCAATCAATATCATATTATCAGGATTAAATGCACTGTGATAGGGCTGACCAAAATAGATTTCATGTTTTGTTAAATTAGGAATTTGTTGTGTTAGCATTTCATATGTATAATTAACTTTGTATCAATTTATGTTTCAACAAAATTTAGCAATTCAATTAAGTACGTTTCACATTAACAAAGTCAATTTTCAATCAAGATTATTGATGAAAGATTTTAAATTATAAAAAGAACATTGTCATCAAGTTACCCTAGTTTAATTGTTCATGGTTTACTATTGCAATGAAGAGATATCAAATTTTGCTGCATTATTTATGCCTTTTCTTCTAAGGCCTTCCATATATAAATATTTCAATTATAACATGTTAAACATTGCAAACTATCCTGCTTATGATTCTCTTCGGTTTCAAATTTTATCATAAAATGATAATTACGTTGCCATATTTGTATTTAATAATTTATTTCAAGCAATATATTCTACCCATCAATGCAGGAATCAGTAGAGGGGTTACTACTATCGCAATCATCCTTCCTGTAGTAGTTCTTGTTATCTTTACTACCGCTTGCTTTTGCTTCTGGAGAAAAAGATCAAAAATGAAGATAACTCGTAAGACTTATCTGTTACTATTGTTTTTGCTCATGTTTATTGTAACTAATTACAGTTAAATGAAAAAAGAGTAAAATACTAGATATATAGTCATGATACAGCAATTTATTATATTTGTTTCTCTAATTGTAGAAATCCAACGTGTATTTCGACATAGTAATACAACAAAGGAAATAAATATCAACTAAGAATTAAAAAGAGCAATAAAGAGCTAGCTAGAATTAATCAATTTATTGTACATGCCATGAAGCTTGCAGTAGGGAGTTTAAAGTCTCAATTTTGGATGGGAGGCCGTAGTGAATTTAATAGGGATTTCAAAGGATTGGGAATTTTGACTGTTGGGGTCTGGATGTGAAATATGAAATGCAGATGGAAGAAAGAATTCAACCATTTTTATTTGTTACATTTGGTTCAATGCTTATTGTTTAGCATTATGTTAATGCTACAAAGAAAATTCAATTATTTTGAAATATTTACAACTTTGTAGGTGAGACAAACCCCGAGGAGATTACAAATGTTGAATCTATATTGTTTGATCTATCTACACTTAAAGTAGCAACAATGAATTTCTCTGAACGTAACAAGCTTGGTGAAGGTGGCTTCGGATCAGTTTATAAGGTAAAATGTTAACATGCTACTTGGCAATTATTTACATTGATTGGAAAAGAACAGAAAACAAGAGTAAGAAAACTGCTTTGATCTAAAAAATTGCATTTATTTATGTTAAATTTTAATATTTCTTATAGGGATTGCTACCTGATGGACGTGAAATAGCAGTGAAAAGGCTATCAAAAGGATCGAGGCAAGGGCTTAATGAGCTAAGAAATGAACTTATTCTAGTTGCTAAACTCCAGCACAAAAATCTTGTAAGACTACATGGTATTTGTCTTGAGGAACAGGAGATGTTGCTCGTTTACGAATATTTACCCAACAAAAGCTTAGATACCATTCTCTTTGGTATAGTTTCTAGTACTCGACATGTTTGCTTAATCAAAGCTTCAACTTTAGTAAAATTTCACACCGGTGTTGTCTTCTAATTTCAATCACTTCCTTCTACGAAAAATTGCTTTACTTTTTATTATTTTAAATTAATATTAAATTAAGTTATGGTCTTATTTTGGTCTTTGTTGTAGATCCAGCAAAAAGTGAACTACTGGACTGGGAGAAAAGATACAATATAATAGAAGGAATTGCTCGTGGCCTACTTTACCTACATGAAGACTCCCAACTAAAGATCATTCATAGGGATCTTAAAGCTAGCAATATATTGTTAGACGCAAATATGGCTCCAAAAATATCAGACTTTGGCTTGGCCAGGCTGTTTGAAGGAGAAGAGACTTACGGGATGACAATTCATGTTGTTGGAACATGGTAAGTTGAATAAATCATGAAGTCTTACTAATTTTTCTACTTTAATTGAATACATTCATAAAATCATGAGTTTCTCGCAGTGGATATATTGCTCCAGAATACGGAATGCATGGACATTTCTCATTCAAGTCTGACGTCTTTAGTTTTGGAGTACTAATTTTAGAGGTTATAACAGGAAGGAGCATTGGTTTCTTCAATGTTGAGCTTGATGAATACCTTTTAAGCTATGTATGTATTTCCATTGAATGTTTAGAAACTATATTGCCTTTCTATATTAAATAATATGCTTTGGTATTTATATTGAACAGGTTTGGGAGAATTGGAAGAATGGAACAATCTTGAAGATTTTGGACCAAGCTTTGTGCAAACCATTTCAAAACAGTGAAGTCATAAAATGCATTCAAATTGGACTTCTTTGTGTGCAAAAGGATCCAGCTCAAAGGCCTACCATGACACAAGTGATTGTGATGCTCACTAGTCATTCCGTGTCTCTTAAAACTCCTTCTTCACCAGCTTTCTTTGTGGAGAGAAGTGGCGTCAAACATAGTACACTTTCAGGGAAATCTAACATGCAAGGGGAAGACCATCACAACTCTCCTAACAAGTTTATCCCAATGTCACCTAATGAACTGACAATTTCAGAGGTAGATCCTAGATAAGAAAAGTGAAGGTATAGTTGCTTATTATCTAAAATTCTTGTAAAAAATGGCAACAACTGCTCATCCTTATGCATTTTTATGTGAGTGAGAGATAAATAATTAAAATTGAAGGACATTTGATCATAAAAATATGGCACGGTACAACAACAACAACGACAAAGCCTTAATCCCACTACGTGGGGTCGGCCACATGAATCCTTTTTCTCCATTGCGTCCTATTTAGTGTCATATTTTCATTTAGTTCTAATAAATTAAGATCATTTTTAATACAATAAGCCCAAGTCTTCCTAGGTCTACCTCTGCCTTTCTTAACGACTTTCTCTAAAGTCTGTCACAGGAGCTACGCCAACCCTATCACGAATATATTCATTCCGCATTTTGTCTCTAAGTGTAAAGCCACTCATCCACTTAATCATTCTCATCTCGACAACACTTAACTTATTATTATGCTTCTCTTTTAAAGGCCAACATTCAGCGCCAAAAAATATGGCACGGTAATTTCATAAAAATAATGAATTATGAATTGAATATCATTTTGTTGTACAAAATAAATGCCATATAGGTTTTAAACAGATGTTTTATATTATTGATCAAATGTCCTACTATTTTGCTCCTGTATTGCACTCTTGATGTAAGAACTATAACCTTAGTATTTGTTCCCCAACCAATTCATTCTTTTCTCTAACTCTCTTTATGTGCTCTTGACCATTAGGTCCTGCTGCTCTGACTCATTTTGAATCCATCTAGGCTTTTAAATCAACACCCTCGACCACTTCTATATTTCGGACAAGCCTCCATCTCCTTCCCCTTCTTACCTATCCCTCTCAAGCTACCATATAAGTAGGACCCGATATTTCTTTTATTATGTCAATATTATTATTATTATTATTATTATTATTATTATTATTATTATTCTTATTATTTTTAATATTATTATTATTATTACTATTACTTGTTACATTGTAGAGCATAGATTCTTAAGCATGTAAAGAGTATTATAAAAGATAACACTCACCTCACTTGCAAAATAGCAACTGCAGGTTAATACTTGTATATGTTATGTGCAGGATAATACTTGAGAATAAAATCATGAAACATTGGTGAAATTTTATGGAGCATCATAACACTATGACACCAAGGCAGGAGGCCCCAAGTGAATTTTATCCCTACAACTATGCCCGAGTTCTGGTTAATTAGCATTGTAGTGCCATTTTTAGCACCCCAATGCCAAAATGTAGTGTCAAAGTGCCATTCAAAGATAGGTGGATGAGACAAGTCCATCACTACAGTGCAATCATACATAGAGTCGCAGCACTGCCATCCAATGCATGTGCTCCAAACTTGGAGCATCGCAGCTCAATGCATGTGATGCGGTGCCATAACTATAGATTCACAATGCAACAATCTTGACATGATAGTCATTGAACATAAAATTGAATTTATTGTAGGGAGGATCAGTTTTGAGAGTATAAAATATAAAATGAGAGTATTGGAGTAGGCTAAGGGTTTTTGTATGGATGATTTATTCAATTTAGGCGAGTGTCTAGAGTGAGTGGAGGGTTCATTGTAGTAGAGTATGTATGTGTTTTGGCTTAAGTTGGTGGATCGAAGAGAACAATCTAGTGAAAATCTTGGAAATTGCATCAAATCACATGGTTATATTTTTAAAATTCTAATTTTTCTTATTTCAACATTTATAATCACACTTTGTTATTTTGTAATGAATATATTATGTGATTTTATTGTATTACCATACTAGGCAACATTTTTTCACTCCTATCGATCCTTAGTATATTAAAATTAATTTTTGAATTTGACCTAACATTTAAATCTCTTACAAAGCTAGCAAGTTATCACTTTCTTTTACTACTTAGTAGTGACCATACTATTGTTTAAGACAGTGTAAGTTCGAGATATCCACTGTTTCATTATTCACAGAAGAAAATTCACAACATAGGGCTTGAAACTTCACAATTATTAGGGAAACACGTGTATTCCATTTTTAAAACACCTTTGAGCATAAACATATGACTTAAGATTTTGAAAATTAGGATTTTTATAAGTATCAATGGAGGCCTAAAGCTAATTTTGCTCCAGATTGATAACTCACATAAATTAAAACTTTTTTCTCTATGTTAGTTTTATGAACATATAATTCATAGGAGATCTATCTCATATTTAAATTTTCAATTAAAAAAATAAACTAATAGAATTCACGTTTCTAAAACATTCATTTCTTTGAATAAACTGTGTTTTAAACTAATGTGTTAACATCTAATTTCATACACCTTAATCGTTGTGGAAATGATTTTAGAGTCATCTCTATTATATTAATTATACGAAACATGCATTTGCATGAACCCGTGCAAATTTGTATCATGTTTTGATATCATTGTTGAGGATTTGACATTGCATTCATTAAGATTGAAGTTGAAACTAATAGACAAATCATATTCTAATTCAAAGTTTATTTTTTTAAGGTGCTTTATATTACATTCTATGCTTTGTATTTTTTTATTAAGTTTGTGTTGTCTATTCATGTAGAAAATCAAACCCTATAGCAAGCATCACATAATCGTTTGAGAGTGATGTCCAAAAAATTACAGCAAAGTAAGTCAGTCACACAACTATACATGTCAAGTAATATACGGTCTAAGTGTCTTCGTATTGATCTCACGAGGATAGTTCCAAAATATTTCTAGTAAGTGAGTTCTAGTTTAATGAACCACTAAATCTAGTTTTAAGTGGTTGAATTCAAGAGATAAATTTGAAAATTCTAAAATTACAATAAACAAGAATGACAAAATGAAGGGTTGATTTTTTCAGATATGTACGATTAATACTCATATCACACAGGTCAAGTAATTTCTTGAGATTTTCCTTTGGAATCCACACTTTTGTTGATAACCAGAGATATAAGTATTCTCTTTGATCTTACGATTAAGTCAGAAGAATAATTATAAACACATAAATTTAAGTTTCACTTAGCCATATAACAGTTCCAAGAATTCTTCAAATCCCCTATCTAGGCTGCAAAGTCCTAACAGAATATGGGTATTCTACCAAATTTTTCTGTTTAACCTACTCATTCTACTACACAATGGTAAGAAGTCATAGTTCATGAAAGATTATTAACATTCTTACTTCATTCAATAAAAATTAAATTATGATCAAAAGTTTAACACATCAAATCATAAATTTAAGCATAAAAAAGTTGTTAAGGGAAATATAAAATCAATAGAATGAAAACCACAAGAATACTATAAACCTTACATCAAAGGAGTATGAAATCGAGGTTACTTATAATTCATAAAAAAAGAAAGTACCCATAATTTTTTGTTACGATTAAAAAAGAAGAAGAACACAAGGCGTACAAAAAACGTTGACCGAGCCAATCAGTCCTTGAATACACTGTGGTTTTCTCCGAATACAAGTTAGTTGAAAATTCCTCTCCTCTAAACTCATCAATGCCTATATAAACCACATGAAAAGAGAAAAAAAAAAAAGAAAAACTACCTTAGAAATTGCCTCCTTCAGGAAGAAGAAGAAAATAACTCTAGGGTTTACATTCAAACCCGCAAATCTCCGTTAAAATGTGTTAGTATCAAATTTTGAGGTCACATGATTAGGTTGTCCACTCGACTAGCTCAAGAAGATCCACTACTCATTCATAGCCCCCCCATACCTCAAGACCCATTTGAGATCTTTGGTACGTGTTTAGGACACAATATCAGGGTCTGTGATGATTCAACATTACCCGGTAGAATCCACCGTTGGACAGACTCACCTCGGACACTAGACATATTTGATGTCTATTTTGGTGTTTAGTGGTCCCCTTATATCCATTCCAAGCCTCCTTGGTGCGATCAAGGGAATTTATAGAGCTTTCCTACGAACACTATGAAAAAACTAGGGTTTGGGACGTCTTACCCGCGTCGTAATTCAGAGTGCCCATTGACGACAGATTCTCTAATCAATGGATGAGAAATATATTTTATTTTATTGTTAAGGGATCAAAATTCAATCATATGTGGTCTCCCATAGCTTTCACATTGAGAAAACTCTTTATGGAATTTTTTCTATGAAAATCATGGCTCATTGGGACAGCGGGCGCCCCTACGCTGGACCTTGGTGCCCCAACCCCACCAGTGTCAAGTCCTAACACCTTGGTGATAGAAATAGCCCAAGAAGCTCAAAACCAAGCCTTTAATGCCAGTCCCAACACACATTTTGGGAGCCTAGGTGCTCTGAATATCTTAAAATGACCAGGAAACCTAAGAGGACAGAGAGTAAGCACTAGGGAGGTAGCACCAGGGCACCAAACTTATTTCCTAGGAGAAAAGTTGCAGCACCTAGGTGACAAGAAAAAATTTAGACCTGATTTCCTCCCATGATTTCCATCATTTCAAGCTCGAAACTCTTCCCTAGGAACCTAAAATTGTAGTGATTTATTTATTTTTGGGGGATTTTCTTTGGGATGAGATAAATAGGGTGATAATACCTATTTTAGGCCTATTTTGGAAGCTTTTAAGGTGATGTGAGAAGGCCATTTTGGGAAAATTTGGGGGGAAATTGAGTGGGTTGAAGATATCCTTGGCTATGGTTCATTTGGCCCCCATCACCTCTTCATCTTGAGCATTCTTGGAGCTAAGAAGGGCTAGTCATCTTCTTCCTAGAGAGAAAATGATTGCTTATTCTTCCTCTTAGTGGTGGAGAGCTAGAGAGGAGCTTTAGTGAAAAAAAATCTGGAAAGGATCTTAAGTAAAGAAGAGAAAACTTCTTCTTCTCCTCCCAAACTCCATCTTCTTCATCTTCTTCAATTTCTTATTCCTCATCTACTTCATTTTCCTCCACCACTTTTTTTGAGTGTGTGAGGAGATCTTCTTGAGGAAGAGTTGGATAGCAAGGAATCAATACTTCTCTTCTCCTATGATAAAGAAGAGCTTCATCTTAGCTTGGGTAAGTATTGTTGGAGCTTCAACAGAACTTCACTGAAATCTATCCAGACTGATCTTCTAAGGAATAACTTCTTTGTTCTTTGGAGAAGAAGTTGATTAAACCTTGTCAGAGCTTCACCGGAACATCTCCATGTCTCATACCACTGGAAGAGCTTCATCTGACGTTAAGAAGCACGACATCAAAC